ATATATATATAGAAATGATATATTTATATATGCATATTATATATATATATATATTTAGCCGCGATTGGAAGCTTGACTCGTTGATGTGATGTTTTATGTGGCCCTTTCTGAGTGATGGGCCTTTGTGGGGGAAGCCACCGCACGTCTGTGGCTATCACTAACCCACAACAACTGCTTTCGCGTCACAGGACATGGACTGTGTATTCCCCATATATGGCATTGATAAGCATTTACTGCTGCAAGACCTTTGGGACGCCGAAGATTTGAGTGTACGGGTTGTGTCTCTGCCTCAGGGCACCTTTGGGGGAGCGTTGGGGGTACGTACTATCTGAGGTTTGCACGGCGTAATATGTAGCGAGCCCTGCCCTGACTCGCATTTCTGGGCTGTATGTGGTGCAGTTGGTGTAGTCTAGGTGCAAATGATCGACAGGGCTTTTAATGGTCTGTGGGGGCATGAGGGTTCGTCCGCAGAATTATACAAAGTTTAATGTTTTTAACCCCCTAAATACAAAGTTTGAGATTTTGGGGAGTGTGAGGACGGTTTATGGGGATGATGGTACGAACTTCTGAGGGGTTTGGAATGGTAAAGGTTATCAATCGGAAGTCGTTTTATGATCATGTGGTATTGATTCTGTAAAGGGTGTAGGCTGCCAACGGGTGTCATTTGGTGTGTGTGGATCAGTATCATTTGTCGTCGCACCTCGTTTCAGAATGGCATTGAATAGACCTGTGAGTGGCGTCTTAATGATCGCTTGGACACCGGCACGGTATCGAATTCTTCGTTTGTGTTATGATTCCGTATTCGTGTATACATATGTGCATATATTTACATATATATATATATATACATTGATGCATTGCGCATGTCTATGCTTCTGTATCTGTAGCGTTTGTGTGTAGTCTCGCTCTTCTCTACTTACCTACCGATTGTTTCTGCATGCAGATTGGAGGAATTTATGACCTATCAAGTCTTGAGCGCTTACCCTCCACAGTAGATGTCATGGGGTATGTATCAAATAAGGCATAAGCACCTGCAGTTGGATCTATACTCACTCTATTACTTGAGCGTAGACCTTATGGTTCTTTTCATAGCCTTGTATCGTATTGTGCGAACATGGCCTTGTGCTGCACATATCTATGGTTGTCTAAGTAGCAGAGTTCGTAGCACAGGCACTTGTCCCGATGAGGTGAGATTGAAACCCAGTAAAGTTGTTTGTGTAAGTTTTGTACTGGAATTCATTGGGGCGAGGCATGCTGGCGGATCCAGCTTTAACACTGCTGCTGCGTGCATTTGCTAGTGTACCCACAGCTGACTGATAATATGATATTCATTTGCTCGCGGAGGGATGTTGTATCCCAGAATAGTAAACCAATTTCCAAGTTTCAATCGTATGAATCGTGGGGCTGTGTATGTGCATAGTTGACTGTTGTAGTTAGTACGTTGCGTATATGGTACGTGTACTGTCGACTCTAGGTCCATGACAAACCGTTCACATATGGAGGTATATGCTAGGGTGTAGCTACACACATACATATAAACTTATGCTGCACTTTTATGCTAGGGTGTAGCTACATACCTACATATAAATCTATGCTGCACTTTTATGCTAGGGTGTAGCTACAAACCTACATATACACCTATGCTGCACTTTTATGCTAGGGTGTAGCTTCATACCTGCATATACACCTATGCTGCACTTTTATGCTAGGGTGTAGCTACATACCTACATATAAACCTATGCTGTTATACTAGTGTGTAGCTACATACCTACATATAAACCTATGCTGCATTTTTATGCTAGGGTGTAGCTACATACCTACATATAAATCTATGCTACCCTTTAAACGCGTTCCTGTTTGTCTGTGGAGTACTGTCCTGTGGAGTTGTGATATTGTTCTAGCGCGCCTTTCGCACTCTGTGACACTGAAATCACTTCTCACCCCCACTCGCTACTAACATCGGCCTTAGCTACAGCAAAAGTGACTCCAATTCAGATTAATTTGGAATCATCAAATCCTAAATACGATGTTTGGGAACTCTTACATGATACCCATCAATTATTCCTACCCAATCAACCTAGTGTTACTTTAGTAGTAATGCCAGTACTTTCAGCTGTTCGCTTATATAAATACCGATGTTAGTATCTTAAATGAATATATATATATGTGTGCGTGTGTGTGTGCGTATGCGTGTGCGTGTGTGTGTATAGATATATATATATATATATGCATGTTATATATATATAAATATATATGTGTGTGTGTGTGAATGTGTGTGTGTGACAGAGAGAGTATGTCTGTGTATGTATGCGTTGGTATATATATATGTATATTTATATTTATATATGTATATATATATATATATATATATAATAGTATATATATATATATATGTGTGTGTGT